AACGCGAATGTAACGCTCTTTAATATGAAATGTAATAAAAGAGACATGTGGTTTTCAGAAAGAGAAGAAAAAGTTAATTTATAATATAATTTTATTTCTGCAAATGCGAATGTTTTTTTGTAAATAATATTATATTATATTCCGTTTAATATTACCACATAATATTGTTTGTTAAATTTATGCAATTTGCATATGGAACTGTTAATGATTGGAACTCTTTTTATAAATAAAAGGGAATTCTAGAATTTTTTAAAAGAAAGTTAGAATTGTGTAATCAGAACTGTTAGATCAGAATTTTTATGATAATGGTACTGCTAAAGAGATTTCCAAAAAATAATATTACAAAGAAGAATGGTCTTGAAATTGAAAAACATAATTGTTTTGAACAATCGACATCGCATCGATATCTTTTGCCGTTTGTTCGTTGCGCAATTGGTCTTGCAGAAACTATCGGGGCAAAGCAGACACGCCCTTCAAGCCATCGATTCATACATTTACTTTAGGCGGCATTGCTCGCTGTCGCGTTTTCCGCCCCTTCGACTGGAAGCAGGAAGTTCGTTTTGCTCGAGGCGTAAAAATACGAGAGATAAAGTACCGAGAGTTGGATCGAGATGAAAAAGGAATTTCAATTATTACCCGAGGCACATCGGACTCTCTGTTTTATCAATAGTATATCTCGAGAGACGAAATAAACTTGTGCATTAAAAATACCGCATAGAAATTTTGCGAGTTACATATGGAAGTTAATCGAGCAAAAACCAACCAGGTGTTTCGATAACGAACGAGAATTATCGATAAAAATAATCTTGTCACTGGTAGTATTGTTAATGCATATTTCATAGGAAACAGAGTTTCGTCATTAAAAGATACAAAACGGATACGATATACAAAGATACAAAATAAATCACTTGCTATTAGTCGTAATAACTTAAATTGTCTTTTCGAGGCAACAAGTTTATCTTATCATATTATGGAATAATAATAACAAATTCTTCGGAATAAAAAAATATTCCATATTGTAAATGTGTAATGTAAATGCGAAAATAGCATTATTTTTATTATGACAGTATCACAAAGAAAAATTTCTAAAAAATAATATTACAAAGGGAATGAGCTTGAAAAGGAATTCTTTTGAACAATCGCATGAATATCTTTGCAATCATTGCATGCGACGCGATCGGTAACGATAATTTAATAGCTATTAATAGTTAGAGCGAGAGAGAATACGTTAAAATCTTATCGAGTTATTTTATAGCCATCGTAACCGAAAATTCAGCCGCGAGGGATGCAGATCTCGTTTCTTGTTATCTGCGGCATCCCTTGTTAGATGTAACACGGCTTCAGTCTGTATTATCCTCGTATTCTCCCCGCCAAGTCATCACACTTGCAAGACTCGACGGGAATAGGTAGCGATGCAGCTCGCGCACTAAAACACCGATTCGCGTTCCGCCCTTTAGCTGTGTAGTTTGCCGGTCGTTTTACAGCTCGCCCGGAATGACCGGAAGCGCCGGTAGCACGGACGCGTACGATGAACGATGGAACGAACAAAAAAAGTGGAAGGGAGTGGAGGAGAATCGAGAATAGCGAATCGTCGACGAGAAAGAATCTTCGATTAAATCTGGCGATTGGCGGCCTTTCGAGTAAACCGACCGTATAAAATTCAATTTCGCCTTTTCATCTTTTCTGCCTCTCCATCTCCGTCCGGTCAATCTTCAATAACTCAATTCTCGCGGATCGCTTTTAATCGTTTCATTATTAATCCTTGCGATCGCGCCTTCAGCCTTTGTGCATTCGCGAAGAAGAACGCGTTTGAAAATTTGCAAGACACATTAATCACATTTATTCATACTGTTTCATCAACGCGCTATACAGCAAGAAGCATAATGAGATTACAAAATGCGGCTTCGTTGCCAACAAAAAAGTTAAGAGCTTCAAAGTTAAGAGCGGGACTTGTTGTGCGTTACCTTGCATATTCTTATATATGTTAAAAGCTATATAACGTGCTTTATATCCGTGTTTTTATAGGACTGCATTACATAAAAGGATTTAGAATGCAGCAAATCCTGTATCGTATATCCTCGCTACAACCTGGGCGGATAAACGGAGAATATTTTTGTGCGTGTTGGCGCCGATTTTTCGCGACTTTGTTTATTCGCGCTGGACATATCCGTGGGTTTTTCGTCAACAACATTGTCGCGTTTACACCGAACTTCGATCACAGCGCGAGGCGTTTATTTTTTTAGCAAGTGGCAATATATCGTGAAACGTTTACCTTCGTTTAGCGTTGTCGACGAAAGAATTGCGTGACTGATACAAACTACAGTAAAATAATGTTTTTATGACATTGCGAGAGCTGCAAGAATCATGAAAATCAGTTTTCGAAAAAATCGAATGCAGCCACACGGACTTAAAAGAATTTTTTTGCGCGTAAAAACTAGTTATACGTTGAGAATATTTATTCCGTTAAATAAATTATAATGAAAATATACGAAATTTATGCAATTGCGCTTTTAAGTTTATACATTGTTTTTAGAAAAAATCAATGCATTTTAAAATAAATCTTTCTATTTGTTAGTGAAACTTTACATACGCATTTCAGCATCGTCATAATTGATTATTCTCATTGAACACAAAATTCTGTCATGTGTTTTTTGGTCTGTATATAATGTATACGCTTGAAGTTCGACCCTGTGATTCGATCTCTGAATTTACGCGTTATTTCCTCATTTTACAGCTGTTTCTAGAATTCAATAAATATATCATGAATTTACTGCTCCGTCAATTTATTTAAAAAAATTTTTGTTTTGTAAAATAAATCTTTTTCATGTCGGAGACCTTTATATTGCGCAATAATGTATAAACGAAAATATCTGATTTCTCATCGGGTGTCTATTTCGATTGCACGATATATAAATGTGTCGTGCATTTGTCACTTTGCAAATTTATTTAACTGATTGTTATTTTATGAAATGTATCTTTTCATACCGGGAAACGTTTACACTAGATGGAATTGGCAATATTTGATTTATTCGTTTGCATCTATCTGTACAACCCAATTAATTGTGCCCTGGATTTATTACTTTACGAATTCATGTTACGAATTTTTATTTGACAAAATAAAATATTTTCGCGCATGGAAATTGTATATGTTAAGCAACGACGGCAGTGTTTGATTTACCACGGAGCAGAATAATTCACGAATAGTTAATGGTGGTCGAATGATGATGATGATGTAATAATCACAACGGCGAAATGTTACCTCGGTAAACTGGTCTACCGGTCTGCGAGGCCTCGCACGAATAAGCTGCATTGTCCTTGCACAAAGGATACCATTCACCTGCCGCGTTTCCTAGATTTCCCACGAGTTTCACGGTACGCGCGTAGAGCTTCGGAAGACCCGAGCATTTTTCTCTCCGTGCACCATCATTACTTTCGTATTCGCGATCCTCTGTTCGACGATGCGCGAAATCTATCGCGGAGAAAAATGCATCGCGAGACGCGGACAATTTTCCGTTATAATCGGTCGATATCTCGCGATCGATTGTGCGTCTGTCGGCGCTCGCGCCGCGACTTCGTTCTTTTTTCTCGCCGAAACCTCGTCATTGTTCCATCTTTTCGCAACGGCAGACATACATATATATCTTTTTGTCGATCAGAGTGCCGGAAAGAATACCCAGAAGAACGGAACGCATAAGCTCCTTTTGTGGAATATTGTCGCTGGTAAACGATTTCACAGGAATCGAGAATACCCAAAAATTCCAGAAAAGTTTTGTGTGTTGTGCAAATGTGAAACAGCTCGCCTGAAATGCACGACTATTTTTCGTTGCAAGTAAACAAGCTTTTTTTATTGTTTAAAATTACTCTGATATCTTTTAATTCATCGTACACACAGATATCGAAAAAATAAATTAAATTTGTGGACAAATATTTTATTGACATAAAATTTTCACATCACGTGATAGCTATATATACCTTAGTTTATTTGAAGTTGTATCTATCTTAATTGATAGAGATTAGATAAAGCAATCTATTAGTCGAAAAAACCGGGAGAAAATCCGAAAATTTTTTTATTTATAGTTGTGTGTAGTAACTCCATGTAAACTCATTGGAAAAACTTTTCGGTGAAAATTTTCAGAAGAGACAAAAACTCGCCAACATTTTTGACGCGTGCCGCGTTGTTTGAAATGATCGATCGGTGCTGGCTTTGTATCAGTCCAGCCTGATAAACCGTTGATCGCTATTAATCCGATACCATAGCACGTGCCGAACGCAGCGGCAAAATTAACAATAACCGCGTCACGCGTTATCAAACGTAGCTATTTGCTACTAAATGCCAGCTACATGTGTCGATGATATCGCACCATGAAATTCCACTGAAAACGATTCGAATAAAACGTCATTCATCAGAAATGCAAAATTAGCCGTGTGAAATTTTTAACATCACAAAATTTGCTTTTTTTGAATTGTAGAAAAAAAAGGGCAATATAAGTCATATTTTGCTTTTTTCCTTCCAAAAACAAATAAAATTATAAACGTATTTGATGTAAAATTTAAAGGTCTAAAATTTTGTACATTGCTTAAATCAGCGCTTGGAATTAGTTGCACATCTTGGGCTGATTCCCGAGACGACACCTCCTGTTTCCCCCACTACAGCCCGGCCGCTGGTAATCGAGCCGCCGATAGCTCTGATTCAGGAGCGTTTTTATATTAGAAATAGGCTGGGTTGTTTAGGCATCTCTCAGGAAATCGTAACATTTTCTTTGCTACATTAATAATTAAATGCATAATATATATATATATTTAATTATTAATGAAAATAAACATTATTTATGTAGCGAAGAAAATGTTAC